TGGCTTCCTGCATTACCCCACTCATGTGACTCTAAACATCCAATAGGAAACTCTTCCTGTATCACCCCACTCATGTGACTCTAAACATCCAATAGGAATACAAGCCAAACCACATAAAAATTCACTTGACCGTAGTCTCCAAGCTAACCACTAGGAGATGCTAAAATTCTCAATGTGCACATAACATTACAATTATGCACACCTGATATAGGGTGTTGATGTCATTAGACCACACCCCTTCTCATTACCAGTGTTGGGTAAGTTACTTTAAATTAGTTAGTTACATTACTAGTTACTTCTATCAAAAGTAACTCAGTTACTTCAAGTTACTCGTTACTTTCAGAGTAACTAGTTACTAGGGAAAGTAACTTTGGTTTTACTCAGAATTCTCTTGTTAATGTGTTGCTTCCGTAACTGGATACCCAGCCAGACTGCCAGTCTTCTAACTTGCTTACTTGCCACAAGTGCACTGTGCCACCTACCAATAGAAAGGAAAAAATAATGTGCACATTTCCACGGGAGAAATCCCACGCCTGATTCTATCGTAGCCTGCTTTTTACATCCAACACAAAAACTGCAGTCGTGGTGCTTTCGATTGTACTCAGAACTCGGAAATTCTGCCTTCTGAATAGGAAGATGTTGGTAACACCAGACTGCAGATGAGCTGCATACAGGGCTGGACTGGGACAAAAAAAAATTGTCCCGGGCATTTTGACTAGAGACTGGCCCACCGTTATAGGAAAAATCATAAAGCCTTTGAATGAAAATAAACACTGTTGTGACAGTGATGTACACTGTTCTGATGGTATATATGTATCAATCTATCAATCGTTTGTTGCAAGACTCAGATAATTATTTTTTTTTAAAGTGAGACATTTTAAATGAGAATAAGAAAGTATTTCTTTGTGCCCCCCTTTCCCTGTTAATGCTCTACATGGACCTCTGGCAACACTTTGCTAGATCCGCACCTGCACAGTTACCAGCTGTCAGCTACTTAGAAAAGGATCCTGGTGTTATTTGTCTCTCAGAAACAGTTCATAACTTCCCTTCAACTCATTCATGTCACCTAAAAGGTAAACCTGTTTCTCCATCACAGCTCTGATGATTCAGTAAGGACATCTCCTGGTTTCGTCTTCATGTTTCCATCTCACCACATAACCAAACCGACATCATGACCCGCAGGTTTACAGCTGTGACTCCAGCAAACATCAGCTGATACTAGAAATTAATATTAAATAAATTCTAACAACAGCTGATCAAGCTTAAACGCGCTGCTGTTGTTTAGCGCGACATCCGCTGGTTTCCTCTTTCTGGCGCAAAGTGGGCGATAAACAAACAAGAGAGAAAAGCCGATCAGCTGATCATTGATCAGTTTCATGATTGAAGTAGAAACAGGAGAGGGAGGGTGAGAGAAGAAGAGGCAGCTCTGCAGCAAAGACGCAGAATAACTCCAGCTTTGTGTCTTTTTCATTGTAGCTGAAGTCTGGGACAAACTGTTCCTTTTCACCTCAATAAGAAACGCGTAATATTTTCTCTGAATGCGAGACGATTCCGTTTTTTACAGGACGGTTGGCAACTCTAATAATTAACCTTATGAACAAAATAAAGTTCAACATCAGTAACATAGCAGCCACCCAGCTGTATAGAAACTCCGTCATGCTAGCTAGCACGCAGTACGAAAAAGTCAGCATAACGAAAATAAACTCCACCTAAACTTGGTTCATATCTGACCCAGATAGACTGCAGGTTATAACTTCTTACCTGAAGTTCAGTTCACCTGATACTCGGACCGGCGGCTGCTTCGGGTCTCTCCTCTTGCCTCCCTTTTCCTTCATCCACCTGCTGGCTTCCACCACTTGCTAATGTTATTGAATCTGTGGAAGCTCCGCGATAGCCACCACACGAAGTAACGAATAACGAGCCTATCTAAATCCCAGTAACGAGTAACGCGTTCCCGGTTTTGGCATAATAACTAGTTACCGTGCTCGTTACCACAATAATAACGGAGTTACTGTAACGCGTTACTTAATAACGCGTTAGTCCCAACACTGCTCATTACAGAGATGCACATCACCTAATATGCTTAATTGGTAGTAGGCTTTTGAGCCTATACAGCTTGGAGTAAGACAACATGCATGAAGAGGATGATGTGGACAAAATACTCATTTGCCTAATAATTCTGCACTCCCTGTAGTTATAACTTGCCATCTTTCACTTTACATTATCATAGTTTGTTTTTAAGGATTGTTTGAGAGTAGATAAATGTATATATTTACAAGGAGTGACTCTTTTGTGCAGCCTAAAATAAAGTTGGCTATTATCTGCTTCATACGTGTTTCATACCTGATGTTGCTTAATTTTGCCATAACTTAAGCCCCCCACGTGTGGCATTGTAGAGGAACTCATTAGTGATTAACACAGTGGTTATTGTGACTGTAGCCAAGGTAAACACAATAATCCTGTTACCTTTGTGCTCGCCTTCACTGGCAGGCATCGCATGGACTAAATGAAATGCTCATTTCAAACACCCTCCATAAATTAAAGCAACTTACTGCTGTTATGTTCTCCTCCCCACTCTTGAGTCCTGGGAGGTCTGGGCCTCTTTGCTTTGGCTGCTGCCCCCGCGACCCGGCCTCGGATAAAGCGGATGAAGATGGATGGATGGATGGATTTTAAAGTTGTGTTCTGGTTATTTTTATTATTTTTTTTATATTTTATTATTCTATTTATTTATCTGTTATTTGAAAATAATAATACATTGATCATTATTTTTATGTAATTGAGTACCAAGGCTGACATACTTGCTTTTTATAACTGGCAGAAATAAGGCGATCATCAAAGCTTGAAGTGAAAACACAAAGTCATACACACTGAGTGTCGCACATGATACAAATTCTACTTCTAAGCATAAATTATTTTGATTTTTTTTCACTGCATTTTATCTACTGATAAGAAAGTGATATCTTGCCATCTGGTTATAAATATTTCCGACATTAAAACTGTTGTGAATGACGAACTGGCATTTAATCTGACGCAAATCTCTCATGAAGCTACAGCCACAAAGACACTGGTTTCTTTATTTTATACATGTGACCACTTCATAAATCCTACTAACACCACGGCATTTACCAATATAAGCAAAGATAAGAAACAAAAAAAACAGAAATCACTCTCCAGTTTGTGTTGCTCTCTGTCGCCCTCTGTTGTTCAGCTCTGAACATAAGGTTTTGTTTCCGAGGAAATGAAACCTTGCTTGCTATAAAAATCAGCCCATTTCAGAGCAGACACAGGGCAGATAAAGACATGGACCCCGGTGAGTCATGTCTTGTTTTGATCCCTTCTGGGAGCTGCTGGTTTCACCTCAGCAGGAATAGCTGCAGGCATGATGTCGTCTGCTGCAGTTGCTAATGGAGGAGGAGTGGCAGCTGGAAGTGTGGCAGCTGCTTTGCAGTCAGCAGGTAAATTAATAATTAGATGTTTCATTAGGATTTTAACTTGCAACAACATGCAAAAAGAAAAAGTTCATCAAAATATCATAATTTTAGATTAGATAATTGCATCTGTTGTATGCTTTTGACAGCTTCTTTGTGTCATGGTGCTGCAGGTGCAGCTGGTCTGTCAGCTACTGCTGGTGCTGGAGCAGCAGTGGGATGGTTGGTGAGTTTCATCAGCTGAAAATCATGTAGAACTCATATATTTGCTTCATGCCAAAACTGGAAGTCTTGTTATTCTCTCAAGATTGTTTTTAATCATTGTGTTGTGTTTTCATGATGATAATTTTTATACATTTATATTAAAATTAACTATTATGGTGTAAAGCTTGTGTGTATCATTAGTACAGCTAACTGTGTTCAATACACTTAATCCTTTGTGAAAGAGTAAAGGGATAAATGTGAGTATTAAGTAGTTTTAGTTTAAAAAGCTCATACAGGCTACTCCACCTTCTAATGTTACAGTCCCTTGGTGCCTTCTTTCCAGGCCTCTTAAATCATCCCAGGTGAACAAGTGCAATGATCAAGAGGGGAGCTGCTGCTAACTGGTGTGACTGATAAGATCTGACCTATAGTGCTTCTCAGGGTTTATCATATGAGGGAAAGCAGGGGATACACTTGGACTTCAATAAAAAAGCTGAACCAGACTTCCTGTATAGAGGTGCCCGTCCTGCAGATCAACAATCCAGCCTGTCTTATCAAAGCAAGAAACCTTCAGAGGTTGCAAAGGTACAGACATTCTGTATTTTTCACGAGTTGTCATTGCAGATTTCCATCCTCTATACTCAGTATACTGTTAATGCCTTTGTATCTTTTAATGCCTGTTTATGTCTTTATACTAGACACTATAAAGTTGGTGTGAAGGTGGAATTCAGTGAAGGAATCTAAGCATCATCAGCTTAACTTCAAATTCACCTCTATTTCACTTGATGTAACGTAACTCTGATCACAGCCACTGTAATAGACGGGCTCATAGATGGACTTTTTTTTAAAATCTTAAACTTTAATTTACATTTGACCTTTTGTATTGTCTTTATTGTCTGACTGAGTACCTGAAGTTCTGTTTATTTAAGCCCTTTCTGTACAGTGCTTTGTGACTGCTTTTCTATGAAAAGTGCTTAATAAATAAACCTTACTTACTCTCTTTTGATTAACAGCACATATTTCAATAATAATACTTTGCATCTTCATCCTGAAATATTGTTTCTGTGTGAGGAAATCCAAGTCTGCTATTGCAGCTCTATCACATAGTGCAGACTTTTTTTTTTACATAAAATATCTTTTATGAACATAATGTCACAAAAAATGCTTTCATCACTTCTGCCATCCCTTCTGATCTGCTCATTCAGGTGTTGAAGTGGTTTGTTTTTCACTCAACAGTGAAAAGAAAACCATCAGCTGATTTTCACAAACAGCTGATTTACTAAGAAGCATTTGATAGAATTCAAAATTTATAAAACATTGATACTGTAGAAAAAAACACAACAGACCACAGATGAGATAAAGATGTTTGTTTGTTAATTTATTTGCATTTATGAAGCATTATGGAAACATACTTTTCAAGTTCACATATTTCCAGCAGTTATAAAATCCAATCAGTGGATTGCTATTTATTGTTAGTTTGGTGAGAGCACCAGACATGCCACTGTGCCGACCTCCAATGCAGCATCAACATGTCTCTGCTGGTCATCAAAGAAGATGTGAGGCTTGATCCTCTGCAGTGTAGGACCTTTGTTAGCCCCTCCCAGAAGCACAGCTTCATCAAGCTCCAGACCCCAGGTGCGCAGAGTGTTTAAAGCTCGGTAGCCGCCACAGTCTGCCCCTCGAGATGTCACCAGGTAGGTACGAATGGGACACTTCTCGCGCAGGCCTTTGCTTTCTTTTGCTTCTTCCAGCCCTGCAAACAAGAAGGAATGAAAAGGCTGCTGGACAATCTGATTTACCAAATCTGTTTAGATTCATCAGAGTAGTGTTAGCAATAGTGTTACTATTACTTACTTATATCTATTATTTTTGTATTGACTTGCTTTTAGAGTACTTACACTTTCAAGTGTATTCTACTTTATAAGATTCTGTTTTAGTGTTTTTGTTGTCTTATTGTAAGCCTGTCATTAATCTATTTAAAAATTTGAAGGGCATGAAAAGTGCTGTACAAATGAAGCCTGAATGATTTAGAAAAGGTATTGGGGTAAACAAGAGTTGATCAGAATCACTTAGAAGTGGAAAGATTGTCTCAGTCTCAGTCTAATTGTTTCCATTTATCCATTTTCTCAAAATTTAGAAGTTTCCTCATAAGACACATGTATTTGAAATAATAGTAAGTGTGTTTGGAGGTGTCATAAACTCACCATGTTCACGGATCCGATTCATGAGAAAGTCTGATGATGAGCTGTCATTGATGAGTTTGACTTTAAAGAGCTCCTCACTGTCAGGGTAATGGTTTGTGAGTTCAGCATTGACTGCCTTCAGAGCCTGAGAGCAGGACAAGGAAGATAAATTAAATTTGAGTGAATGTTAAGTAACTGTGTGAGTGCAGTATTTGTGTGCAGGTTTCTGTGGTGCTTTGTCTTATGTGGTATATTCTCATCTTTCACATAACCACTACATGCAATTTTGTGTATGTGTTTTTCCCCTCATAATATATGACCTTAACAAATTTGAAGGCAGGGCCATAGCCCTGCTGTTCTTGCTTGAAGAGGAGTCCTGAAGACATGGCAATGGTGACGGGGATCTCTGGTTCAGGCTAAAGGAGAAAAAAATGTTTCCCACAATTCAATAAAGACATTCTTTTACATAGTTTAAAAATAAATTGTCAACAATTTTCTTATTTGACCTCTGCACTCATACAGTATGTTATGACACTATTTGCACTTCTTGCTTGCTGATTTAATGCTTTATCTGTACTTTTGTAGGAACTTGTTATGAATCAGTTTTCAACCTTAAATCTTTCTCTGTCTAGAAGATCTTCATGAAAATGACTGGATTTTATTCACTGAGTTGCCACAGCTGCCATTCACTTTTGTCTTCTGCTCTTGGGTCTGGTGTGATAACTCTTTATACTCTCCCACTTTCTTTTTTCATTACCAACAACAACAACACTGCAGGACCTAGTTCAGCTTTTAAGTCGGTGAGGTGTGATTGTGATGGCGCTCAGGTGTGTGCCGCCCCTGTAGTGGCACCACAGACCACGTCCTGCCACAGAGTATAAGGATGTTTAAAAGATGCTGCAGAAAGCTGCATCTGGTCAGACGGAAAAACACACAAACTCGGATGAGTGTGTGGCGGAGGTGTGGTTCCTGGCTCAGCTGCAGGGTAGGTGTGCTGCAGTGTATAAAAGGCCCCAAAGTTCATAGGTGAATTCTATTTGAGCTCTGATACCAGTGTTTGTAAGTTTGTATAAGTTTCTATACTGTTCATGTAGCATTCAACCTTCTGTTAGTTACAGTTACTAACAAGAAAATGTGGTGCGGTCGCGTTAAAATTTTCCAACAAACAGACGGCTGAAGCTGTGTTCAGCTTACCGCACCTTATATCAGATTAAATAAGTAATCTGGGCGCTACAGCTTTACGCAGCTGTGCGCGCTCCTGCGGACGGCAATCACGATCACTGTCTAGCACAACACCTGGAGCTAAGGGGGCAAAACAATCGCATGAGTGCTGCTGTTTGACTGAGGAAGAATAAAGTAGTCGTGGTAAGCCAATCACACGACCACTTTAAGATGACAAAGCAACAAGGTGATATATACCAGTTTTTAAATTGTGTTGATAGGCCACGTAAAACCAGAGTCATGATAAACAATATATATGTGTGTTTTTTCCTCAATAGTTTCGTCATGTTTACTGTCTGAGCACAGCGCTAGCAAGCACTCTCTGCTTATGAGCAAAAAATAAAAAACACAAAACAAAAAACAGCCCGTTCGTGTTGGTGGAAAAATGAACCATGTCAACTAATCAAAAAAAATGGGCAACTTGACATTTGGTTGTTTAGGAAGAGGGGGAAGTTTTAGGAGTGACGGCGAGAGAGGGTGAGAGAGAAAGACAGCAGAAAAAGAGAGAGAGCGAATTTTGAGATGTGAGAGATTTGTGATGTTTAGCATGTTTGGAGTGTGTAGTTAATCTTCTGTAGTTAGCGTGTAGTGTTGGGGATGGTTTTGTGTTGTGTGTCAGAACAATGCGGCGACTGCTGTCTCCAGGTAGGAGCCTGACACCTCCTGCTGTCAGGCTTGTAATGTTCTCCTTTATAGTGGACAGAAATTATTATTTTGGAGTGGCACAAATAATTTGTGTGGCATCTTATTGAAACTGCAAATAACTTTGTTGTTTGCAAAACTTGTGCATTTGATTTTAAAATTGACAATTTATATTTGCATTTAAAGTTATGAAATATGATTCAATAAACATATTTGTGGTTGTTACAGTAAAAAATATAACTTTTTCTACTCGGATTTTATGTTTTTTGTCTTATTTTAGATCAATTGTGTTAATACAGTATGTCAAAATGAAAACATAACTGTAAATTCAGACACGTGAGGTTGTGCTGAAAAGGATGATACCAAACAAGGCAAAGTAATTAGTTTTTAAAAGTGAAATGTAGAGGAAACATCAAATGTATTAAAAAATGACCAATTATACCCTGGACACCAGAGAGTTAAACAATTTTTTTAAGTAACGCAATAGTTACTTTTCAAGTAATTAATTACTTTTAGAATCTTGTAACTCAGTTACGAACTCACTTACTTTTTTGAAGAAGTAACTATAAATAATTACTTTTTCAAAGTAACTTGCCCAACACTGGGCACTATACAGTTGGTATGAAGGTGGAATTCAGAGAATGAATCTCAGCATCATCAGCAAAAATTCATATGAATCTGTGCTACACTTGATGTAACATAACTGTGACCTTTTAATCCATCACAGTGTAGCAAAATAACCTGTTTATCCTGCAGAGGATTTTCATGCAACGTTTAAATAACTCAGTTAGTGTACCACAGCATGTTTCACATTATTACTGCAGCAGCTGGCTGCTGCTAAACTAATTTCCCCTTGTGGGACAATAAAGAAATTGAATTGAATTGAATTGGTGTCGGTTACAGGAAGACAATTCACTGACTCTCTTCATAACTGTATATCTTTTTTATTATTCTTGATTACTTAACACAATTTTATACCTTATTTCAAAAGATGACGAAGTTATAGAAATATTCATTAAAACTGCTATAACAGACATATTTTCTTGTTAATAGTGCACAGCTTTCTGACATAGTGAAAAGAAAATCACAAAGGATGGCACACCATCATCCACCAGCAGAGCATATATCTTTCACTAAGTTGTTAAAACTACTACATAATTGCCACACACCAGCATATATTAATACATTAAAAACTGACTTACTGTAGAAGTTCTGCACTCACTCATCGTGCTTCTTAAAGATAGAAATAAACTTGAATTTCCTCTGTTTGCTGACTGCAGAACTGCTGTTCTTCCTTTTTATTCTAACTAGAAAAGCTACGTCATGATGCAGAACCTGTGGAGCCTTTGGACCCTGTTGCCATGCCATTTGTATTGATTAGTGATGTTCGATTCGTAAACGAATCGTTCAATACTCGAGAATCACTTTACTGACTCGTGAATCATGATTCACAAGCGCAACTGACTCACTGACTCATCCCTGTTGCTGTTAGCAAACTAATTCCATTAGTAGAAATATATCTATCTTATAATTAAAATTGTGGGGGGAAAAAACAACAGCCAGTTTCTTAACAAAAACATTTCTGCTCTGAACTAGAAGAAAAAACCCTGAGTAGAAGCTCACATCAAGACAATAGCTCCTCAGTTCACAGTAGCATCGCTTAGCTAGCATGCTAACAGCACATTTGAGTTACTCACCCCCTCCCCTGCTGTGCTGAATCACAGCATAAGGCGAATCACTCACTCACTCACCCCCTCCCTCCTGGCTCACAGCTCATACGAGTTGAACGAATCACTGACTTACTCATCCCCTCCCTTGCTAGGCTGAATCATAGGGTAAGGCGAATCACTCACTCACTCATCCCCTCCTTTGCTGTGCTGAATCACTCACCCCCTCCCTCCTGGCTCACAGCTCAAACGAGTTGAACGAATCACTGGCTGTATCCCAATTCAGGGTCTGCAGCCTTAAAGTACGCAGCCTCAACGGTCCTCAAGGGCCGCGTACTCAAAGACCGCTAAGGCCGGAAGTGCGAGGCTTGTGAAATGGGACGGTCTAGCCTCCGTCGCGCTGCCCAGGTTGTCTAGCAACCATGATAGCTGGAAACGTGTGGTTGACAGAAATGAAGGAGAACATATTTTGTTTGTTAGTTTGTTTCTACATGAGCTCTGTGTGATTTAATAAGTATCTAAGGCTGAGACCACAGGACTGTAAAACATGATTGTTGGGCTTCATTTCTGTACTGAACAGTCATTTAAGATTAGCTAGTAAATAACAATTAGTTAATGTTGTTCATGAGACTAAAGTCAGTGTAAATATAATATGGCCAATATCATAGTTATTATATTAATCATTATACGTTATTACAGCAGTGAGTTTGAACTCTCAAATCAAATCACTTCTATTGTCACATCACATGTGCAGGTGCACTGGTACAGTGAATTCAGGGAAATGAAGGATGCATTTGATTCATTATTAATTCATATTTATTATAAATAATTCTAATTATACATCTTGCTTCCATATTTGTATCTTGTGTCACTAAAAATAAATTTTATTTTAGTTTTATACATCGATTAATGACCTGCAGAATCTCCTTATCATATTAAGTGATTCATAATTGTCACTTTATGCTTTCTCCATCTCTAAAGTGATTACATCCTTGCATTACATGCTTTAGGTTCATTTTCTGCAGGCAGGTTTCTGACAGAGAACAGGCAGATTTACACTATAACATGCAGCGTTCTATAGATGGACACATAAAGAAATGAAAAATTACATGTATGTGCTAACTTTCTAAACACTTTGTTACATTTATGATAAAGTAGATTAAACACATTTATGTCGGCCTTGACTCATAGTTCTTGTCTTTAAATGAACTTTGTCTGTGTTTCAGGTCCTGCACTCTCAAAGACTGAATGAACCAGCATTGCAGTCATGGGTTGAAGCCGCCCACTGCACCTGTAAGGCCGGAGTCGCGGAGACCTGTACCCACGTCATTGCTCTTCTGTTTAATGTAGAAGCAGCAGTGTTGATCGTGGCACAAGGACTGTTACAGATGAACCTGCATACTGGGTTTTGCTGGGTAATGTGACCAAGATACAGTCAGTGGTTGGCCATAAGATAGACTTCTCCTCTTCAGCTGCCCAAAAAAAGGCTCTTGATCAAAACATAAACAGACCATCCATATTGAAAGGTAAAAGGAGCCGTCCTCAAAAAAGAAAAATCCCACCTGCTACTGTGGAGGAGTTGTCACTGCTATAATGCCATAATGTTTTATCTAGGGGTCTAGATTTATGCCTGTAGTGCACTGCCGTGTACCCTGAATTGGGATACAGCCACTGACTCACTCATCCCCTCCCTTCCTGTTACGAATCACTGACTCACTCACCCCCTCCCTTCCTGTTACGAATCACTCACTGGACCTTTCTCAGTTCTAAGTAAGCAAGTACATACTCGCGTTCTCGGCGAGACTGGACTTGCCGAGACCGCACGGGAGTACAATTGGAACACCAGCGTACTTGATGATGTCACAGGTCCGGAGTTTTTACTGTAGTGATGGGATTTCCGGCTCTTTTTAGAGAACCGGCTCTTTCGGCTCGACTCACTAAAAAGAGCCGGCTCTTTCGGCTCCGAACCGGCTCTTCAGGTTGTTTTGTTGCTTTAATTAATTTATTATTAACAATAATAGAAAATTATGCACAAAAGGAATTACTAATGTAAAAAAAAGTGGTTTTATTATATATGTTTATATATAAATATATGCGGTGGCACCTAGAGACAAAGCACGTACAAACTCCAAAAAGCACGTACAAATTCCAAAGCTCGTACAAACTCCAAAACATATTTCTAGCGTTAACTGAACTTCCAAAACAGAGCTACCTAGATCACTTAAATTACACAATTGAAAGCATATGTGTATGGTTTGTGTATTTATACACAAGCACTCATATATATTCAAATAAAAAAAAAAAGTTCATTTACCTGTTACTACCACACACCAAATCCGGTCATTGGTACTTCCTGGCTTGTGTAGCCACTAGGTAACAAAAGCTCAACACTGCGCCTAGCATCCGGGAGCACTTCTGTTGTGTTTTGTACGTGTTTTGGAGTTTTTACATGCTTCTAAGTTTTTACGTGTTTTGATGTTTGTATGTGCTTCGGGGTTTGTACGTGTTTTGGAGTTTGTACGTGTCTTGGAGTTTTTACGTGTTTTGGAGTTTGTACGTGCTTCGGAGTTTGTACGTGCTATGGAGTTTTTACATGTTTTGGAGTTTTTACGTGGTTCGGGGTTTGTACGTGCTTTCTCTCTAGGGGCCACCGTAAATATACTTTTATTTATTCACTACACATAAAATGTAATAAATAAATCATATTTTACAAAAACCAACTATTCACAGTTCAGCTTTTAACTATTTAAATTTTCAGGTTTTTCTTTTTAAATAAATTTAAAGTGAAACAACACAAAACACTGCAAACCACAACACAATTAAATATAAATTAAAATATGAAAAAAAAGAACATGCATATTCTCTGTCATATGGGCCTGCATGAATAAACTTTCTGAATCCTATATCTTCGGCAACTGAAAATAGTTGTGGATGAGTACTATGTGGAAGTAAGCATCAACGACACAGAGCTCTCAGTTCTCACTCCTTTATTCCTCTCCAACATCAACTGCACATATCTGCACCCAGCAGAACTAGTCCAGGACCCAGGGCTTAAGCAAACGGCCGGAACGGCTGAACCGGGGTGGGTGGGGAACTGACAGAGGGCAACCCAGCCCAGGAGCGAGGCTGGCACCGGCAGTCAGAAAAAACTGCAGACGACTCGGACTCCGTTGATTGTGAGTCAGCCCGGTGGCAAGTGGGCGGCCACGGCGAGGGGCCTGGGCCGGGACCACCTGATCCTCTTGCCTCTTGCATAACATGTGCAGGCTTAAGGCTGTCAACAGAGACAACCTCCTGCCGACCGCCAAAGTCCAAAATGAAATGTTTGTTGCCTGGTTTAAGAACCCTGTATGGCCCGTCATATGGTGGACGCAGCGGAGTCCTATGGGCATTGTGCCTGACGAAAACGAAACGAGCAGAGTCCAACGAACTCGGAACAAAAGTGTCAGGCAGGCAGTGGTGCACAGGAACAGGAAATGAGTCTCTTGGGGGCGAAAAGGCAACAAAGATGTATCGAAACATGGGGGAGGGCTCTCAGGTAAGAATTCCCCAGGGACCCGGAGGGGCTGGCCGATAATATATTATCATGCTTTTTACAACAACGTGAATGTACTATTGCTGTGTGATTTATTACTATTACTGAAGGTCCGCGACTCCGAACTGTAGTAAAGGGACCTCTGACTAATACGGCGGGGTCCCTGTCGGCTCGTAGCCGAAAAATAGCTTTACTTTGTTGTCTGGGTCAACTTTTCTTGACAGAGAGAGGCGTTGAAAGACTGCTCCAACGGAACTTATTGTTTTCGGAGGAAAACACGAACACAGTGTACAGTCGAGTCTTAATAGCTTACTTACAACTGGGCTCGTCAGGCACTCTTCTTGGCTGCAGTGGTTATTATTATATTTACATGCTTCCAGCTCCCGTTTTTCCTCGATGACAACTCGTACCTTTCCACTCCCCTTTTTCTCCCTCCTCGCGCTCACAGACCCATAACGTGTATGGCAGTCCATTCTCCCTGCAACACGGACTACACTGCCCATGATGCTACATTCCTTAGAGCTATGCTTGTAGCATTCTGCCTGTTAGCTTAGCACAACAACAACAACGAAAAGGCGCTCTCTCACCCAGGAAACACACAGTCGCAGAGAGAGAGAGAGCGTCGCCCTGTAACCATGGCAACCGTAACGCTGCCGCCTGGAACAACAGAACGTAGCTGTCAAACAAAACCCAAACAGGCCTGACCCGCGACAAAATGAAACAGGAAAGTACCGCAGTGTAATCCATTTATTTCAACAAAGTAACTGTATTCTGAATACCACCTTTCTAAACGGTAACTGTAACGGAATACAGTTACTCATATTTTGTATTTTAAATACGTAACGGCGGTACATGTATTCCGTTACTCCCCAACACTGTGTAGAAAGCAATAATAAATAAATTCTAACAACAGCTTATCAAGCTTAAACGTGCTGCTGTTGTTCAGCCGCTGGTTTCCTCTTTCTGGCGTGAAGTGGGCCAAAAACAAACAAGAGAGACGGACTCGCGACAGAAAAGCCGATCAGCTGATCATTAAGCAGTTTCATGATTGAAGTAGCAGCAAGAAGAGGCAGTCGCCTGTTAAGCTTAACGCAGGAATGCTTTA